AAAAGAAAAAAAACTGTGAACTCAGCCCATCGCGGAAACGAGCAATTTTCGTGCCGACCAACACAATCAGTAATTTTTCCTTGAAAAAGGAGAGAAATACATATCTGTCAAAGTTTAACACCAACTCTAATCTAAGGTTTTCTGCGGTGAGTTTGAAGAAGTGTAACAAAATAAGAATATCAATGTCATCAATGATATTACTCGCACATGCTTTGCAATATTAAAGTATTGTTCGACAAAAGTTGCTTTTAACGGTGGCGACAGTGGTTTAACATCGAATAAAATTTTTCAGCAAAGCTGCCTGACAGCTTGTAGATGCTTCGTAGCTTCTATTTAATAGGCTACTTTAAAAAAAAAAAGCACCAGCTAACGTCGCTAACGTAAAAGATTCCCTTCTAGCTCACACTCAAAGACTGATTTTAAGAAGAGTATATCTTTGCAAATGTAAACATGAAAAAGTTCTTCATACGTTGAACGAAAATTCTGTCGTCTGATTTCCTAATTGCGCGAGAGATGACAAGTTGAATATATCCATTTGAGTGACGCTTTTTTTTAGCAATTGTAAATACTTTGTCGAATGTATGGCTGTCTGGAAAATATTTCGGCAGTTTATCTTGCACAGTGTAATGAAAAGTAAGTCTAGAAATGCTTTATAACCATTTTGCTACGCTGACCTCTCTAAGATTCGTCTCAATGCTGCTTTTTACATATGTGGTTGTCTGATTAAACAATGATTCGCATAGGTGAATCTTTGTTTAAACAGACGAGCGGAACACTCTGGTAATATTAACTAAAATATTTATGTTAAGAATATCAGTGGGCGACCTTTTAATCCCATCCACATATTAGCCTTGCGCTGAAAGCCTCTAAATACCCTATTTCGAGTTTGCTGTCGCTACTCTACTGTAGAAGAAACAACAATTAAAACCGATTTATAGAACTGGTAACTTTGGTGGTCATAATAGCTGCTAAAGACACTGTAAATCTCAACTTAAACAAAGCGCGTCAGCACTACTGCCATACGCTCATTAAATATCCCAAAGATATGCCGGAGCTTACCCATTTAAAATTTTCGCCCGTTAAAACGTGGTGTTTGCTAACCAAGTAAAGTCCGTTCACTCCCTTACATCTGTATAATATTTTGAAGATATCCGACCCTTTTCAGAAAATATTTGAGTGTTGTGATTGACATATCTGCTACGTCATAGAATAAACCCACGCTTGGTGTTCAATACTTTTAAAATTGTAGTAAAGAAAATGCTTTTTTTACCGGATCCTGAAACAAAACGCCTTCTAAAGCAAATGACCGAGCAGAACGTGACTTCCTCTTGACGTTTTAGCAAATAACATATTTTTCTCCACGAAATTACGGCTTCAACGCTGATTTTTTAAAATAAATTCTTTGAATTAAATAATCACTTGTTGTAAGGAATGCCGTTTTATTTTGTAATTTAGTATATCCATGTCGTTGTAACCTCCAAATCATCTTTAGATATCAAGCGAATGCGATTGGAGGATTTTAATTAATAGTATGATCGAAGAGGCAACAACTTCAGCTGTAGTAAACATGCAATAAGCGCGTTCCGCTCTCTGCTTCACTTCCCTCAGACGCTTCGAGTGTATTAAAAATTTAAAAAGGGAAATTATTTCGGAAAGTATGGGTGTTTGAAATAAATGATCGACCCATCTCTCTTTAGCAGGGCTTATAGGATCTTCTTTTTTTTATTTTCAAATTAGAGACACAGGACTCAAACAAAGACCCCATGTATTGACTATCAGATTTGATATAAAACTAAAATTCGTTTTTTAGTGCTCGCGTATTCGAACTTTTGTAAAAGTTCTCTTGATTTTTCTATGTGCTTTTTAGGATTTTCTGGTGCAGAATTGTAGAGATCTTTTAATGGGTATGAACTGTTCGCAGAAAATAAGATTATTTTGGTTTTATCAACGTAGTTTATAAACTGGCCACCGTATAGAGTTTCAAAGCTGACTTTTTGAGCGTCATAGCGTTCGTCAGAGCGAATGACGAAGGGCTGACGCTTGAAATGTAAACTTTGAAATTCTTTACAGTGGCCAATTTACATTATCAACTCGGTTGACAAGCCAAAATTATCTTGTTGTTATCCTCCTCCACCGACACAGCACCACAGTTTCTTTAGAAACTTATACCCTTTTTGAACACAGAAAAGACAAGACAATTTGTAGTAACACTAAAAATGATGAAAATAAAATATTGGGAAATAAGGAAAACTTTTTTGTTTAGCAAGGTTTAGAGAAGTGAAACACTATACCTCTAAAGCGCTAATCGCCAGAATTAAATCGCCAGAATTAAATCGCCAGAAATGCAAATCCTTAATCGAAAAAATGATATATGACACTAATCTCGCAAAATATAACACGGGGCTCGCCAACTCGCAAGTGCTTCTAAGGACTACTCGATACTAGAAGAGACTATCGGCGAAAAGCTTACCCGTAATCAAGGCTCCAGAAACTATTACCAAACGAACCTTTCATTTTTCTTAAGCTTATCACTCGCCTGGGCTTGTGTCCCTAACTTTAATTTCATATATATTGTCATGAATTGTTAACTGTCTGTAGGATTATTGGCGCCATATGATGCAATTGTAATCTGCACTATCTTCATTTACGTGTCGCATCTATTCTTTATTGACATTTAATCAAACACTAACGCATTTCTCACAAAAATAAAGTTTTGCCATTTAGCAAAAAGAAATAATGATTGGTTTTCTAACGGAAGCGTGAATAATTCATATTTTATTATCTGCGCAAGAGGCTTTTAATACAAGTCTTGATATGTCCGATAGATCACAAAGTCAAGTAAGAAAATCTTTGTTAGTTGCGTGAACTCGTTTGAAGCATCTCGTTCTATTTCATGCACTTAGCCTTGGGTGCTTCAGTTCCACCTGCCGTTAATGTTTCAAGCATCGGGTGTGCACTATAAAATTTAATCACAGTTTGCATTTTTCCAGTGTTAGCCTCTAAACTCTTTACGGTGGCTAATTCACGTTTTCAACTCAGTTGACAACACTAAATTACCCACACGTATTATTAATCCATAAATTTTATCAATCTAGTTGGCTACAAGAAAGCGACTAATTCGCCTCTGATAGCACTGTTCTTACCTTTTTGCTTCGATAGATAACAAGGTACCGAATAAGTCTTGAAAATTATCTCTGTCATGTTTAAATTCATGCATCTAAAAATTTTCAATCAATAATGATTGACGTACAATCGCTAATTAATGTTTCATTCCGTCAAACTCTTTTGATTCAGACTAGGATGATGGAAGAAGAAGAAGAAAAAAAAAGGTGAGCTCTGAGCCTCAGGTATTGCAGTAGAAATAGGCTAGGGGTAAGGATTGCATTTGTCACAAACTGTTGTGATCAGTTTGCGAAAGAAGTCTAGTCCAGAGGACCAGTCCAGAAGACCAGTCCAGAGGACCAGTCCAGAGATCCAGTGCAGAGGTCCAGTTCAGAGGTTCATTCTAAAGGTTTAGGAGTTTTTTTGACTTGAAGTGCTCCTACTAAGACATCACTAGCTGCATTTCATTTCTGCAAAACGAACATCAAAGCTTCTTTTGTTCAGAAGCTTTCGGGAAAGGCTAGAACCCGATGAAGCCATCAAAAAATGTTTACCAGCGAGTAAAAAAGGGAAATTTTGTCTAGATACGAAAAAGATTTTGCAAAGCTGCCGGAATTCATCTTGTTTTTTTTAGCACAAAGCGATATGATTATAGATGGATTGATAGTCCATCATACATATACGTGTAGGTAACCCCACTAACTCCAGCATTTCGCAGGTTTCCCTGAAAGTTTACCGGGATTCATTTATAATCCCAGGCCCCACTGGATAAATCTCTATTATATGCGATGGATAGCGCAGTAGGTTTTCTTAACGCTTAGTCGCTGGAAGGTGATTTTATCCGTTGAATAGCGTTATCTGTTCTTCGCACAACTTAACCCAGATTGAAGAGCGATACTATAAGAGATAAGTGTCCTGTCTGAAAGAGCGAAATCGAAAAACGTACTCAATGACCAAACAAGGCTCAAAACTCGAATATTACAATCCAAAGTCCAAGGCACTAACAATTAAGCACCGTCTGTCCTTGAACAGTCAGGGCAAGGAAACCACTTAAAAGTTAATCTCAAGAATTGTCAAAGCAAGGTCAAAAATTCGATTTTCATGTTTAAAGGGACAAGTCCTATTTTCAAATTGACCAATAATGTGAAAATGTACCCACCACTTTCTCAACACTTACTGTGTTCGCAACAAAAGAGTGACGAAGAAATACACCGTGTGTAGCTATAAAATGCGTTGGAGCGCAGAATCCGAAGGTCAGAGGTTCAGCATCTTATATTATGGAGAATTTCTTTCTCTCCAACTTGTTTCAAGTTGAAGGAACATCTTTCTTTACGACTCTATGCGTCCTTGTTGTCACATGATCTTCTTTTTCGTGTTTTGACAAGAAGAACTTTTGTGCGTGCAGTTTAGTTTGCACAGTGTATTCTTATCCTAGCGATCGGTAAACATCAATTGTGTGGCCTATTGAATGTTGACCTTTGCTAAATATTACGGTGACAAAGCTTTCAAAAAGAGGAACAAAAAATATGTCGCCTTTATGGAAGTTTAACATTAATTATTTTCTCGGTTCCTACACAAGGTGAATCTTCTCCAGAAGTTGTACCGTCATTGAGGTTTCACAGTTCTGTTCGAAGGACTTGTTAAGGAAAAATAGAGCTCGGATTTCGTTAAGGAGAAGGCCGTCTCCTTTTTTCGTTATGAATGTACTTAGTCTCAATGAAGTGAAAATTTTGGCAATTTTCCCTTAGAAGATAAAGAAATGGTTTATATTTTAGGAACAGAATAATCTCGTACTTAAAACATTTATAACTGCAGTAAAAACCGAGGGCAAAATAGGAGATCATAGGAACCCTCGCGAACTTGTCGTTTAGGGGCAAATTGATACGACGTAGTCGATGTCCAGGCACACTGCTTGTGTTGGATCTAAGCATTACCTTAAAGACTGGCGTTAAAGATAAAAGCCTAATAGGGTAATTGCAATCAAAGTAATTGAAAATCAGAAAAAAGCAATTGAAAAATCCAACGGTACTTCCTGCAAATGAATTTATTCCCCTCATCCTACATTGCAGTCAGGCGTTAGTTACAACTGATCTACGGAGCCATCTTTGAGACATCCCGTTGATTAAAATGTCTGACCATTAATTTTGTGAAGCAGTTGTGGGAAATTCATTTTTTCTTTTAAGGGTTCCGAAAAAAATTATGATAAGCGCTGTAAAAGTAAAGAAAATAGGGCGGAGCAACTGAAGAGTGATAGTGTAGAAGCCGTAAAGGATGAGTTTTGTTAATAACCTCAGACCAATCTTGGCCTCTTTCTATCGGCGCTTTGACCCCTACGAATAACTGCCATCTAATTTATCGTTACGTACTGTATCACTTCTAAATCCCGCATTAAGGTCACGAGAATAAATGAAATGATCACCAGCTAAACCTGCTAAAGAAGCTCTTGATTGATAGACAAAATTCTCGTTGTCAGCACCTTAGAAAATGCACAGAGAACAGGATAGAGAAGAAAGAAAGGGCCCTATGTAAAGTACTTTAAACGCGCTAAACTGATCTCGTCAATCGAAATTATTCGTTTCTTCTTCCGTCATCAGGATTAGCAGACCAATTACAAAGAACGATATGGAACTGATTTACAAGTACGTGTCCTTCTTCCAAAATGTTTTCCTTAGAGTTAGATAAATATGTCAGAATATGGCATGCAAAATTGATAGTTGACATTGACAAACAATGGATCTTGTTAACAGTGGTAGAAAGGATGAAAAATCTACTCTTTCGAGCTCGGAAGTCATGAAAAAATTTGATGCTGCAAAGTCATTTGTTAACACCAGCCTGGGAAAGCAGAAGATTCGGTCCGTATCCCGTTTTAACCCGCTCCTCGATCCTGAGGCTGAGTAGATTATTATCTCGTTGTAACCAAGCAACCGATTCATGTGAAAATAATTATTTACTGTGATATCTTCATTCAATTCGTATTGTCAAGTTAGTGGTTAAACATGTCAAAAGTCCACCAAAACTATTCAAACATGA